GGAGTAACACAAACTCACTTTTTACAGTTTTTGCAGTCTCCTTGTGGTGTCTCCTCATCCCCGTGTACCGTGATGAAGGAGCACATCAAGCAAAGTGTAGCCTACGGCAGCCACAGCACAGACCCCACTGTGGGGATCTCCTCACAGCTCGTATGGAGAGGAGTCACAAATGCTTTAAAATGCATTCTTGCACACTGGATGTTTCAATGTTGGGGCAAAGAGTTAACAAGCTAACAGTGCAAGAGCTGCGACAGCTGGGGAGGAAAAGAAGGGAGTAAAAGGAGGAACCTGATTGACAATTAACAGACAGAAAGAAAATAAAGCCGGGGAATAAGGGAGAGACAGTGTGAGACAGCGAGTGTGTAAATAGAGCCTAAATGTGCAGTAGGAACGAAATTCGCCTTGGGATTGCCTTGGTAAACAAGGCAGCCGAGGCTTTGGTGGAGATGCTAATAAAACAGAGCTGTTCTTATCAGCTGAGCAGATGGTCTAACCCATCACGTCTACTCAAACAGGGCCGGAGCCATCAGCATTCTAATGAAATTATTTATGATCGAAGATTATATTCAAAACCTTGAGCACACAACACCGTGACTACCTGCGTAAAAAGGAGAAGGGCGGGAAGAAACGATGGGAGCAGGCGGGGAATGAGGAGGTTTACGATCAAAAAGGAGACAACCAGAAGGGGTAGATAGAGCAATGGGGGAATATATGAGAGGGAGCGTATGGAGTGTTTATGGACACAAATGACGAGAAGGAGGTAAAGGGGGTATAAAAAAAACACAAAAAGGGAGAAAGGGAAAGTGGGAGGGAGGGGACAAAAACACCTCTGTGTGCTTTGTTGGTGAGTGGAGGTGGTCACAGGGGAGAGAGGGGAAGGACAGACAAACAAACGATGCTGTGAGTGGAAAAGTATAACTGGCGGTTTGTTTTAGAGGGCAAGCCGCCCCTGTGGATCGACCCCGCTCGGTGTCCCCCCTCCAGCCCGTCTGACCCCTCCGCCCTGGCTTACACCCTGGGCCGCTCCCTTGACAGTGGGGTTGCTTATTCGGCTTAGCCCAGGTCAGGCACCTTGACCAAGGGCACAGCCGTCGCCCACCCCCCTGGAGCCTACAGGTATCTTCTCTAACAATTCCCCCCCTCCCCCCAAACCAAAATAGAACTGATGGAGAGACGAAGAATGTAGATGAATCAGCAGGAGGATTCATGAAAAGGATGAAGAGGTGGCCCGGCAGAGGAAGGGTGGGGAAAAAGAGGATAAATAGGGTAAAGAGAAGGGAGGAAGGATGGGAGATCAAGAGAGGAGAGAATTGATCTGCGAATGGTTAGTATGCAGCCCTCTCTCCCCCACTCCTCCCCCTCCTCCTCTCCTCTCCCATCAGTCAGTGAGGGCTGAGAGTGTGTTGTGGACCACTGCCCGGATGCCTCATACATATTAAAGCCCCCTGCTATTATTTATATCATGTCTCTGCTTCCCCTGCTCGCTGCCCCTCACCCCCACCACCAAACCATACATACATGCACGTGCATTTCCCTCACACACACACACACACACACACACACACACACACACACACACACACACACACACACACACACACACACACACACACACACACACACACACACACACACACAGAGATGCTCTGACAGACAACCACTCACAAACAATGACACGCAGAGACATAAAAACACAGTCTGGTCACATAGGCAGCCAAACACCAGCAGCCCACCCCACACACACACAATCACAGAAATTTGAATGATCTCCGTCTCCTTTTTCTTTGCTCCACGTTTCATACCCGCTTTTATGTTTCAGCCTGTCTCACCCTCTCATCCGTTCTGTCTATTTCTCATCTTCTAATTTCTGTTTGATCGTTTCTCAGTCCTTCCCCCAAATCTGTGATGGAATGATGTTATGTGAATACTTCTATAAGTCGATAAGGACCCGCATGTCTCTCTGCCATCTGAGGTCTGTGCAGAAGCTGGAAAAAAGTTTTATGGACAGTTATATTTACCAAAACAAAACTTTTTTGTCTGGAGTCAAACATTCTAATCTGGATTTAAAGAAAGAAATTCAACAATTTAAAATTAATAATTAAGGATGGAACAGAATGGCTCAAATGCTGCTGCTGACCTCAAAATAGAAATGAAATTAGTTAATTAATTAATTAATTAAAGGTAAAATATGTTTGAGATAATAAGGAAGTTTCCCAGATTACACTGCAAAGCTTTTAACAGACCACGGGGAGTTATTTTAGGCTTCTGTTACAATTGAATAATGTTTTATAACAAATTCAGATGAAATTCGGCCTCGGCTCAGAAAACGTTCTGCTTCCTGAGACTTTTTATTAATCACTGAAGCAGCGATGGTCAAATGTGCTGATTTGAGTGGGATGAGATTTTATTTGTATGCTCCATTTGATCAGTTCATAAGTTCTCAACATTTGCTTTCAGGGTTCAGAGTGAAGAAGGATTTTAAGTGTTTTCTTCCTTCTGAACATTTTTTACTATAAATCCTTTCAAGCTGGGCGTACACTGTGCGACTTTTTCACTCGTAGCACTCAGCTTCAGCTCAAACTGTATGACTTCCTTGCAGGGCAGATCTCACGAGTCATGCGCTCACACTGTACGACCCAGTTCTCGGATGCGACCTGACTGCTTACACTGTACGTCTGGTAGCAACACGTCGGACCTAAAAATATGCTAAAAATAGCAGTTTTTACTCAACACGTCAGACTTTTTTGTGTTGTGTTGCCTGTTGTCCTTCGGGAGTGCTGCAGGAGGACACACAGGGATTTATGGGGGTTGGATGAGGAAAACGAAATAAAGAAAGTAAATCTGTGTTTTGTGATCAGTTTAATTTGACATGAACACGACAAACATGCTTTCTTGACAATCCTTGTCACTGTGTGTAAAACAAAACGTGTAGAAACAAAAACGAAAAATGTTATTAGGGAAATAGCGGGTGAGCGGTTTTGATGCATGATTGCGCATGCGCCGTGAGCGGTTCTGGTACTTTTTGGGTCGCAGCCGCTCTCTGCACAAAATCCCTTTCACATAAAGCAATTCAAGCAGTTTAATTTTTGACAGTTTTGGTACCCTCCAGAGTAAGTCATTTTAGGGCTCTGTCACTTTAAGAAAACAAGCTGGAGCTGGCCACGCCCACCCATGCCTTGCTCAGGTTGCTATAAGCTGAGAAGCTCAGATATCCAAGAGAAGCTCAGAGTAGAGTCGCTGCTCCCCCACTAGCAGCTCTCTTGAACGTGAGAGGTGGTTCTTCTCTAATTTTCCCGTTTGTGACATCACAAATGTGGGTTTTTTGAAACTGCTTGTTTTAGGCACATGATTCCTAAAACCAAACACTGACAGAAAACGGGCAGATTCTGTTCACGTTTGGAGTGTTTACAGAGGCAGTAGAGACCCCCATGGCAGCACAACGGAATGGAAAAGTGAGTTTTGCATAATATGTCCCCTTTAAATCTGCAAAAGCCTAACTACTACAGGAAATATTTTAAATGCTTATTCAATTATCTTATTTCCCCAAAAAGCACATTTTCATTAGATCAAAATAGAATAGAAGCAACTTGTTGGGAAAGCAATTCCTGAACGATAAAAGTCAGAAAATTATATACAAAAACTTTTGAAATGATGAATAATTGATTTGTATGTAAAATGACAAATTAAACAGCATTCCCAACTACATTTCCTTTAGATTTATAATCTGTCCTGTTTGGTATTGAATTGTAACTAAAAGCAAAAGGGAGGAGGATTTCTGCAGACCCTCTTGAATTGATGCAATTATATCGAACAAGACTAAAATCAAGGAAATAAAACTCATATGACCAAATTCCAGCCCACAATGTGTCACTTCTTTAACCTGGAACAATTTTTCTACCATTAATGAACGAGAATGTTGTATCCAAGACCACTAATTGATGACTCATGTTCTGTGACTTTAGGACAAACTCTAACAAGTGGCACGAATCCAAACAAAGAACAGTCTCCATCCCTTTTTTTATCATCGTCCCTCAATCCGAGGGGTTTCCTTCTCACTCCTCTGCCTCCACCTTCCCTTTTATCCCTCCTCTTCCTCTCCACGGCTGTGATGTCCTTGAGGGCCTGCTGAAGCTCCCATAAAGCCTGCAGTAAATGGCTCTAATCCGGTAATAAATGGCTGTGTCCTACAGACAAGGGTGTGAAGCTGCTGCAGCCGTGGGTTTTATCAGATGGAATGGTGTTTCCACACAAACTCACACGAGGAAACGCACAAACATTCACAGATGTAATAGAAGTCCTCCTACAGCTAAAATACACCAATTCTTCCTTGCTCTCTCTCTCTCTCTCTCTCTCTCACACACACACACACACACACACACACACGCACACGCACACGCACACACACACACACACACACACACACACACACACACACACTCATTTCAGATTGAATCACACCTTCTCAGATTGTTCTCCCTTTATGGATGCCATGCAAAAGCAGCACCATTATTACCTTTAAGTGATTGGAGATGTGACGTTGATGCATGATGATGATGGGATCTCGTCGAGCTGCTGCGCCGCTCTTTATGCCGGCTGAGGAAGACTGACTGGATGAAGGAGCCGGGAGGGACGCAGACAATAAGAAGAATAGTAATGTGACCTTTAGAGATAGTTGGACTTCACCTGTTTTTAATCAGCAAACACAATTGATTTTTATCTCGCCCAGTTTTACTTGTGTACTACTGTAGTGGCCTGCTCCTCTGAGGCCCGAGCCTGTGAGTGTGTGTGTAGGAAAAGGGGTGGGGGGATGTCTTACAACCTCTACACTCCTTGTTGAGCTGTAACCCAGAGCGGCACTTTCATTTTCCTGTCATAACATATATTGATTTTTTCCTGTGTGTGCTGTATTTGCTCAGGTGTAGTTATTTGTGCTCTAAGCATCTGGTTTTGATCGGTGTGTGTGTCCGTATGTGTGTGTGTGCGCGCGTGCTTCCCTTCAGGTGGAACTGACCGGCAGCAGTGTGTTTGACTACATCCACCCAGCAGACCACGTGGAGATGGCCGAGCGGCTGGGGATCAGGCCTCACCTGCGGGCTGAGGCAGGCTGCCACACAGCCCCCGACAGCGCCTCCAGCACCGCGTCCACCTCCTCGCTTGCCGGTACCCCAGAACCTGGTACTTTTATTTCGTAATAAATGACTAATCAACTTCTTAACTCTACCCAAAAAAATTCATGATCAAAACAAAACAGAAATATAAAAAGTCTCATTTATTCTGCTAAAACGATGATTTTTGTCCTCCACAGCTGCTCCATCTAGTCCTCACTCTCCAGCTGATGAATCTCCAGAACGTGGTTTTTTCATACGCATGAAATCCACGCTCACTAAACGAGGTCTTCATGTCAAGTCCTCTGGATATAAGGTATCAGGAAAAGAAAGAAAAAACTGTGCAAAAGTCTTGAGGTGATTTCTTCCAAGGATCCAGACGTTCCTGTGATCTCCTGAAGTGGTTTGAACAATGTTGTTCTTTGCTCTTGGCAGCTTTTAGCCCTGATCATTTGCAGAAGAAAGTGAACTTTGAATGTTTCAGGAACAAAAAGGCTCTTAAACTCTAAAAACAAACCAGAAATGTGCCGACACATAACAGAAAGCTCAGCAAAGAGATCTCTCAGGACCAGTTTCAGGTCTTTTCTGGACTGTTGCCCATCTGCTGCAGATGGTATTTTTAGGCCTCACTCTTTTGATTTTGTTCTCCATTTCTTCATTTTCCTCATCAAAACAAAAAGGAGTCAAAAGGCCTCATAAAAACAAAAAACGTCTCTGGAGAAGATTTTGATCAGGACCGTTTTAAAAGATTACAAGACAGAAGGAGTGATGTGAACTTTCTGCACAGTCCCACGTCTCTTGAGCGATCTTCAGGTTTTCCGTCACCTGCTCTTGGGATGACACTTGGTTTCCAGCTGCCGGTGTTTCCTGGCAGTTGGTCATTTCCTGCATGTTTTATGGCTGTGACCTTATTTCACACCAAAGCGCTTCTCACTTACTACACTCACTGCAGTATAAGCAGCCATCGTGATTTTGATTATTTTAGGCATTAATGGTTGTGTTGAATTTTCAGTGATGAACGTTTTGTTTATCTTGTTTAGACGCGTTAGTCTTCACCCCTCCGTGCACTGTAATAAGGAAAGTTCTCTGCCCATCAGGTAATCCACGTGACAGGACGAATCCGGTACCGCCCCGCTCTGGTCCCGGGCTCCACGCGCTCCGTCCGTCGCCCACTGGGCTTGGTCGCTCTGGCACACACGCTCCCGCCCTCCACGCTTAACGAAGTCCGCATGGAGAGCCACATGTTTGTCTTCCGTGTGAACATGGACCTGCAGGTCACATACTGTGAGAACAGGTAAGAGGGGGTTTTGTGTAGATAATAAGCATCACGGCACTTTTTTTTTATTGAAACATGTAAATTTGTGTTTTGTTTTTTGGAGAGCTCCCACATTCATGTTTTTTCATGAGCGGCTGGCAGAGTTCTCGGCCAGCTGGTGGTTTTAGAAAATACATCTGCTTCTGTTTAGTTGACAAATGAGTTTTTTCCTGGTTTTTTTTTTTCTTCATATTTGGTTTACCCTGCATTGCTCCACAGGATCTCAGAGTATATGGATCTGACCCCTGCAGAGGTGGTGGGACACACCTGTTACCACTTCGTTCATGTAGAAGACCTGGAAAATATCCGACAGAGCCATGAAGACTGTGAGTCTCATCTGTATGCATGTAGTCAATCTTAATCACCCCCACCCCCCTCCTTTATTCTTCACTGAATCGGAGTTTGGGAGAGAGCATGGTGGATTTCTGTTGCTGCCACAGGCGCCCTCTACTGCCCGAATAAGGAACATCATATCCGGCTCCTTTCTCTGTCTTCCACTCCAGTGCTGAGGAAAGGTCAGGTGGTGACGGGTTACTACCGCTGGCTCCAGAGGAGAGGAGGCTACCTGTGGATCCAGTCCACTGCCACCGTCTCTATCAACCACAAAGCTCCGCACGAACGCAACGTCATCTGGGTCAACTACGTCCTGAGGTTTGCTCCCAACGACTCCTGATCTGAGCTCAGCTTTTATACGTGCAGACAGTATTCAGGTTTATACAGAAATCCTTCAAGGGGATGAATGATGAAATATGGAGGGATTATAGAGATTTTCTTTGTCTTAAACGTCAGAGGAGAATCTCCGATCGCTGACATTGAAGCACCTTTTTTCCTGTAAGTTCTAGAAAAGAAAATCTAAAGTAACTTTAAATCATTAGTATTTTTGCTTTCTTTCAACCTTTTTTTTTGCCATTTTAGTCCTAATGTCTTACTGAAGGAACCACTGATATAACTAGTAGGAAAACTAATAACAACAAAAAATTCTAAAAAATATGGCGCCTGAATTAGAAGATGATTAATATCTCATATTATTACATCGCATTATAACTCCAAGAGCTCTAAATGAGTGAAAAACCTTAAAAGGTTAGAGTAAATCTTTGTAAGTACAGTTGAAAATATTGATTAGATGCATTTTTTATAGAATTATAAAAGAGTTTGTAAAATATTTATCTGTTCGTCATTAGCATGCAGCTAAAGAACAATATCTCATTGCTATTCAGTCATGCTCCTCCTGAATTAGCAGACATGATCTTATTGAAAGGCTTTTAGGCTGAAATGGGACATTTCTTCACCTTGGTTTAAATATAAATTACCCTTTAAATTTAATATTATTCTTCGTTAAGTCCTAATATATTTTGTACGTGCGCGCGCACACACAATAAAGGTAAAAGCCTGGGTTGCAGTCAAACAAAAACAAGAAGAGTAGGCTGGATTTCAATGCTAATTAGACTGAAGCTATATAATTAGTACAAATGGATGTCAGAATTTTAGGTCTGAATGGTGTTTTAGTTAATTAGTGCTGTAATTACAAGAACTCATTAACTTCTCCAACAGCCGCCTCCTTGTCTGAGATTAACTTTGTATAGGTGGGCTGCTAAGTGGGGTATGGCGTGTGTGTGTGTGAATAGTCGGGTGTGTGTTAGGCGGAGGTTAGAAGAGAGGTTGTTATTAAGTTGATTATATGTTGTTTCTATCCTAAGCATTCACTCAAACAGCTCCACACGACAGCTTTTATTGGATGTAAGTGCCTTTAAGTGGTTGATGATCATTTGTGCTTTTATTTCTTTTGTTTTGTTCTTTTTTGTTTTGGCATCTGTCCATCCAGTCGAACCGAGCTGCCCGACACACCTCTGGATCTGCTGCAGCTACCAGAGAGCATAAGAGTGGAGCGGCTTCGAGTTAGCTCGTCCCCCACCGACTCCTCCCCACAGGCTCAAGGTGAGGCACGGGTGATGTCGGCGGAAGAACACCCGTGTGTGTTACTCTTCTCATTGAGACCTCCTTTTCTCCACAGGCCAACAGCCAGCGAAGAGCTCTGTAGGGAAGAGTGACCCAGACACTAAAGGCAGAGAGAAATTCAGCATCCCCGCCATCCAATCAGAGGACAGGAGGAAGCGCGTGCTGAGGTCTGACCCTGAGGGAGCCCCTCCTGAGAGCCGCCGCCGACTGGAGGAGCTCCGGCGCACAGAAGAGGCCGTATCAGCCTCCTCAGATCTGGCGAGTGAAAGCGAGGGGGATGAGGAGGACGAGACGGAGTGGGACGAAGGGGGAGACAGCGACAGATTAAAGCAAGAAGACAGTGGGGGAGGAGGTAAACAGAGCAGAGGAGACACCCCAACTAGAGGGGAGAGAGTAGGGAGGGTGTACAACGGCCGAGCTGTGATCCAGCAGCTGAAGACGGCGGCGACCCCGTCTTCGCTACCTGGCAGTCCCAACATCAAAACCGAACACGAAGCCCTGGCCACTGGAGGGCGGTGGGGGTCCCAAACGCAAACCTCCAACCCGCACACACACAACTCCCAGCCCCCATCTCACACACCTTCCAGCAGCCTGAACGGCGACAGCCCCACCACCCCGATCCCAGACTCCTCCTCCAGTAGTGAAGCCCCACCCAAAGGCTTGTTCACCCCTCCCTCTCCTGCTCTGTCCCCGACCATGCCCGTGTCCTCCCCGCAGCCCAGAGAGGACAGGGTGGTCAGTCGCAGCAGCGGTGTAGGCAACGGCCCCGACTTTGAGCTACTTCAGAGACTGGCAGGCGGTGCAGCAGGGCGGGTCCTCTTCCACCCCCTCGCCCTCGGCCCGCAGGGCCCTCAGAGCCTGTACGCCCCGAGCACTATCCGATACGCTCCGCCGGAACTGCCTCCCTCCCACCATCACAGCACGGGCCACGGTGACGGCCTGCAGCTACGATCAGACCACCACAAGGGACCCCCACCTACCTTCTTCCCCCACCTGCAGCGGCTGGCCGGCCTACCACCCTTCAGTGGTTTCTCCCCGTCTGACAGCCCCTTCTCCTCCGGCCTGCCTTTCTGTATGAACGGACTGAGGGGGGCTGCGGGCACGGAGGAGGACTGAACTGAGCCTCACGGGGCTGCATAAACATGAAGGACAGCATGAAGCGACAAAACGAATAGAGATGTTGAAAAGGGCAAGGAAGACAGAAGGGGCAGGACATTAAGCCTCCGAGGGCGATGCTAACTGGACTATGAGTTTAATAACCACAATTAAAAATCCGTAATAAGTTGTTTCCAGGAGACGAGTGACAGCAGTTTTCAGAAAAAACAGGACATAGACGTTTTGACGGGCTGTCCCTTAAGACTTTTTGTCTCCACAACAATAATGAACTCTGCTCTGTCTTTCTCTAGTGTTTGATTTATGTGTCTCTTCCACTCAGAGAAGCCATACTGTACATAGCAACAAACAAAACCATAAAAACCCTCAGCTTCATCTAACCTCTTAACCCCAGAACCAGTAGATGGAGGCGGACACTTGTCTGTAGAGATGAAAGTGAATGTTTTTTTTTAAAGCAGTGCAGTGTTTAAATAAATCATCTCTTTGCTCGACGTAAAAAATTTCCCTTAAAAACGGAGACGGCTTTTTGGTGTTTTTGTATGAAAACTAAAAATAATAACAAAAGGGGATGCGTCGTATTTAAAGCACACGGTTGGGACAAAAGGAATAGTAACGCAGTCCCAGACATTCCAATATAAAAGGGAGGAAATTGCAATGCAGACAGGAAGTTACTTCCGTTTGATTATAGAAGTTCAAAATAGAAATTTGTCTGATTAAATGTTGATTCTTCTTTATGATGCAACAGTTGAGTTTGTGTACAAAAGCCATATTTTTTCTTTTTTTTTTGGTTGTTTTTTCATTAGTTGAAACACACAAACTGCAGGTTTAATGGACAAAACATCAAAATATTTTTTTTTAGTTCTCAAAATAAAAAAAATCTATATTTCTGAAAAAAGTTTTGGAAGAGGAAACGGTGTTTTTGTCACCTGCTGTGTTTTTATGAGCACTTACTGAAACACGTTCTGGTGTGAACTAAAGGCACTTCATGACTCGGATGTTTTATCCTGTTAAAACAGAAAACAACACAAGTGGTCACTAATATGATTATTGTCTGACCACAGCTGGAGAGAAGGGATACGATTATGCGATGAAAAACAGGTCACTAATCTAAAACGTGACCTTTAGAGGTCAATAAAACAACCGGTTTCAGTTCCTGAAACTTAAATTAGGGTTTACAAAAAAAATACTGAATTAATCTGATTAAAATTCCTCTCAGAGCTAAAAGAACAAACATTTTCTACTTTTAAATTTGTGCAAATGAGACACTCAAAGACAAAAAAAAGGTCAAATTCAAAACATGGGAACGTGAAAATGTGACCCCTTTTTAGTAAAGCCAGACACACGACTAAAAACGTAGTAAATTTAACCATAACTTAAAGAAATAACACTAAAGCATTTTCTAGCACTTTGGAATAAAGACTTTTGAACCAATGTGTAAAATAACACAAACATTTTTGTAATGTGTTAAAAGTTTGTGGCACTTTTTTGCCTCCAAATTGAGATTATAGTCAGTTAATCTGAGGATTAAGTTTACGCAGAAACCTGAAGTCCAAGTTCTGATGTCTGACCGGAGGAAAAAAAAAGAAAAGAAGGGAAAAGAGTTCAAATATGCTGTGTGCAATACACTCATCATGTAGCTGTCAGGAGTGTGTGAGCAACCGCGTTCTCGGGTGTTTACTGGTATAAAATAGGCGAGTGTGAGTGCGTGACCGTGTGTCTGCTCGTGTGTGTGTGTGTGTGCGTGTGTGTGTTTTGTTTCGTCTTTTGTTCTTCTTGTTGTTGTTGAAATAAAATTTCAAGAAAAAAAGGAAAGAAAAAACGGCTAACCTTTTGCTCATCACTGTGAATCTAACATGATCCTTCCATGTTTGTGAATATTTCATCCACCCATCGAATAAAATGAACAAAATGTAAAAATTAAAATACAGACGATGATGACAATAAAATATTCCAATAGAGGAGCACAACTCAAGCTTTTGCTGTTTCTTCCTTTTCGTACGATCCAGATGCATCACGAAAGTAGCCAACATGAATTTTTAGATTGTATTATGACTACTGCAAGTGTGTAATCTTGCACTCTCCTGAAGTGGACAAAACTAATATTAATCCTTAATAATAAAAAAAAGAGCAGGTGAGAGGCGCCCTGGCATGCAGGACACCTGTCCAGTGTAGATTCAGAAAAGACTCGGCAATAACTTGGTCTGATATGAACACAAAGGCAAGGAGAGGGCACGGAGAGCGCTGCACTTATAAGAAACTATATATGCAGGCGTGCATCGCAATGTGTGTGTGTGTGTGTGCGTGCGTGTGTGTGTGTGTGTGTGTGTGTGTGTGTTGTCTGAAGCAGCCCCAGGGAGGGGCTCTGACATTGAAGACGGGTTAAATCCTGTTTTACATTCAAGTGGCAGGCCCTTGTTCATTAGAGTGAGGATCATTCCTCCTCAAGACCAAAGGAAGCGCATACTAAACAAGAGCAGTTGTTGGGGAGAAAATGCCATTGTACGTGCAAATGCATATGCACTGTAGGAGTGTGTGTGTGTGTGTGTGTGTGTGTGTGTGTGTGTGTGTGTGTGTGTGTGTGTGTGTGTGTGTGTGTGTGTGTGTGTGTGTGTTTGCAGGGCTGCTAAACAACCTTTCCCAGCTAACTTAAAACGTCTTCACACAGCGAGGTAAAGGTGTGCACGTACGTGCACGAGTGCAAGTAATGACAGCTTTCCTGACTTGTCTTCCACTCACTCTATCACCGAGTCACCCGTACGCCCTCTCTGTCACTAACTTTGATGGCTTATCTTACCCCGTGAATTAGAGCCGTGCTCCCGGGGGAAATACCTCCAGCACATGTAAATGCATCGGAAATATGAGGGGGAATAATAAAGCGAGGGATTCGGATGGATTTGTAGGCAGCTTCCACCTCAACCTCACGCAGAAATGTATTGTATAGTTTTTCCATCTTTGTTCCCCAACAAACTCCTCCTCCTCTTTGCCCGCTCTCAGACAGGAGAAGGCCGGTCCGTGCTCAATGACATCTCGAAGCAGATCTTTTGATCCGTGCGTATGGCATTTAACACCTGAGAGCAGATGAGCAACCCGCATAGGAAACAAGCAGAGGTTGCGAACCCGACTTTCAGAGCTAAGGGTGTAGATGTGGAATTGAGCTTTAGAAATGCATGAGGGCAAGGTGTGGACTGGCTGTGTTTGTGGTTTCTAGCTGCTCAGGGTCTCGGGTAGATGGTGTTTGTCAGTGAGGCCGCGTCTCCTGCCTCTGGGCACCCTGCCCTTTAGACGCGCCAGGCCTCAGGAGCCTCCTGCATGCCAAGCAGACCTGTGCAGTCAGATGCAGCAAGAGAGGAGAAGGGAAGGATGGGAGGACAAGTGAACGTGAGGAGAAGGCCCAAAAGAGGGCAGACTCCAGGGCGCAGAGGTGGAGAAGGATCTGAGGGAGAGAGCTGAGACGGGCCTCATCGGGAGGAAGGTGGGATGCTGGTCACACTGCAGCAGAGAGTCGCACCCTGCATGCGAAACGCAACAGCAGTGCTGGAATGCCTCAGGAGTCAATGAAGGAGAGGTGGGAAGAAACGAAGGAGAAGGGGAGGAAGACAGGGTGCCCCCGGGGTGAGGCTTAACAGCAACGCTGTGTGTCGATGGCTGGGAGATATCACAGACCTTCGCCCTAACCTAGTCAGAGATAGTTATCACAGACAAGCACCCCCCTCTCCCCCTCACACACACACACACACACACACACAACCACCACATGCTGCTCACTTCATCTCGTATACATGTGTGCAGATGAGTACCTCATTATAAGAATTATTCATGTACAAAAAGCAAAGTTTGTACATCTTTGACTCCCTCTGTAGGAGAGACTACTGACTCTGCATTTACACGCTACATCAAACCTTATTTGCATAATTCGAAAGAAAAACTGAAAACCTCTTATGAGAAACTGATTAAGATAGATGCTTTTTGTACAGTGTGCTGTAATTTAATATATTTAATTTTTTGGGATGAAAGAAGCTGTGTTTGAACGTAATTATTTTCCTCAGTTCATCTCTGGGTCTCTCCTCCTTATACTGAAGTCTTGTCCTCTAGTTTAATTAAATGTGGAGAAATCAACATTCCCTTTTAAATTAGCATGTGTAGGGGGTTAATGTTGTTGCTTTTAAGCTTAATATGTTACCTTTACTTATGACCAATAAGCTGTATATTCTGTATAAATATAGAATATCAACCTGCTTGGTCTTTGGATGTTTAATCAGAAGATTCTAGAATTCTTTGCTTTTCCCAGAGATCAAACACACTTCGTCTCAATTCAGACAGTCAGGTTTATAACAGATAAGAAATTTATTTTCTAAACAAATAAAAACACGACAAGTTAACCAAGTTAACCTGTGATGGATGAATTTCAGAGGATGGGATGTGATGTATGGTGATTTAATGATGTGTGTTTATCAGAGCCTTGTATAGAAGAACTGAGTTCTGGGTGTGAAAAGGAATTTGGTTTGCATTAAACTATGAAGTTGGTTCTTATCACAACTGCATCAGACGCAACCTGGCTGTGCTCTACGTACCCCTGAGGACAGGGGCGCAGATAGGATTTCCGAACTGGGGGGGACAAAGTTCCAATGTACCCTCCCCCAAACACACACACACACACACACACACGCACGTACACACACACACACGCACGTACACAAACTATTGCAAGTGCCTTAACTAGAGCTCAGTCAGTTTGTGTAATTTCATCCAATGGTTTACGTAAAAACTAACACTTTTACATACGTGTTTGAAGCCATTATGCAACAAAGCTCTGCCTGATCAACACTATAAATGATAAATGATCCGCACTTGTATAGCGCCTCTCAGAGTAAGGACTCCAAAGCGCTTTACGCTACAGTATGTCATTCATCCATTCACACACACATTCGTACACTGATGGTGATGAGCTACGATGTAGCCACAGCTGCCCTGGGGCACACTGACAGAGGCGCCCCACTATTTAATTCAGTCATTTGCTATTCTCTCAATCGATTACTAACCAAAACCTCATGCTTTATGCAAAACATTAAGTGATTTTCAGCATTCCAATCTTTACAGAAAACATAAAAGCCCTAAAAAACTGCACATAAAATATATTTAAAAAAATAATGTTCACTTATCACTTACAGCAGTAGTTCCCAAACTTTTCAGCCTGACCAACAGATGTTCCTTCATATTTTTACGATATTTAGAAATTTTCATTATATTTGAAAAGTTTTTATTTATATATGAATATATAAATCTCTTTTTAAATTTTATATTTTACCTTTTTTATGATTATGTGGCACTTTGACTTCCATACCTAACGCATCGGCATCTGCCTCTTTTATATGGCTATTTTTTTTAAAACATTGTCGCTACGTCTATCCCGTTAGTGGTGTTTTTACCATAATTTCTACATCCACCACGTCCCAAAGAAGGTTAAACAAACTTTAAACCCAACGTTTAACACACCTCTCGCTGTCTGATGCTGCAGCAGCGTCAATCTTCCCAGCTGGATGAGTGAATTTCTTCATCAGAGTCAAAATTCTGCTTCATAATCAGAGTCAGTCATTACCAGACAAAGTGATCAGTCAACAAAGACCAGACCTGCCAGCATAGGCGTCATTTTAACCGGGGATGCCGGGGACATGTCCCCGGCAAAATTTGTGATTGGCAGCTGTGTCCCCCCCACTTTCAAAAACGCCTGCTGATGAGGATTTTTGTTTTACCAGCTCAGATCTTATACCAGGGGTCGGCAACCTGTTCCCATCAAAGAGCCATTATTACCCATTTCCCACGGTAATTTTGGACGGACCTTAATAAGCAGTGACTTAAGTGAAGCAGGCAGGTCGCGCTAGAAAATTTCGTTTAAAAAGATGTCATAAATGTGTTTCCCTGTCATTTTTATTGATAAAATAGAAGTAAAAACTCACAATTTAATTTTCATTCATTTGTCATTAATATGTAGTCTACACCCGTGCGTTAAGTGGACCATCTTCCAGTGAAAGCAAAGCATCCAGTCCACCTCTCCAAATGCGTAAAATGTGCATCAGCCGCTAGTTAGGCGCGCCGCGCGCACCATCAGCTGATCGGCCCAGACAAGAGCAGAGCAAATAGAGAAAGAATAGAAGATAATTGTGTCTGGATGTGGATGGAGATTACATTTTACAGCAGCCTGATCATCATTTAAATACGTAAACCATCACCTGTCTTCTAGTCCATGCTATCAGCATTATTTTAATTGGTGTGTGTGTGTGTGTGTGTGTGTGTGTGTGTGTGTGTGTGTGTGTGTGTGTGTGTGTGTGTGTGTGTGTGTGTGTGTGTGTGTGTGTGTGTGTGTTTGTGTGTTTGTTTTCCACATCAAACACTGGTCTAACCAACCAGACCAGCGTGTCCAGTAACACATTAATGTTACAATTAAACAGTTTCCCTTCATGTAGGCTAGGAACATTTCACCTGCTGTGGCCCGACCGCTTCTGCTCCACATGAACTTTGTGCGTGATCAAATGTCTCTACGCGTCATGCGTCTCCATATTAGAGACGGGAACAAGCGCTGTTCAGCCAAAGTTTCATAATTTCATAAAAAGAACATTTTTCCAAGTGACACATCCCTCAGAGAGACCGGGTTTCCAGACTGTTTCAGTGGGAGGAAATCTTATTGCATGTGCCGTGGTTCTGCACTGCGCTGCGAATCCCAGATCTTCAGCTCACTGTCCACCGTGGGCGCTCCGAGCCGCGCTGAACACAGTGTCCAGTATAAAGCTCTGATGTTCTGATGGGAATATTTTACCTCCGCGATGTGCGTTAACAATTAAAATATCAGCTCATCCATGCGCATCAGTGTGCGTCGGGGTAATTCTTTCAAACCAAGCAACATCCTTGAGTTCATCTGTCAAAATAAACAGTCAAATGGAAATATCTGTAACCTGCCGTTTAACTGTTTTGCCTTCC